GGCTTAAAGTTGAGTGAACTCATTGGTATGGATCTGGTCATCCAGGATAGTAACTAACTAACAAAATCCATAATTCTGCAGACTTCTTTTGTCTGTCTTCCTGAGGTTTTGGAATCCTTAATTATAGCCCTTAACTTAAATTTGACTTCCAGATCAGCCTTTTAGCCGAGCAATTTTGAGGGCATACTGTGAAATGTGACCCTTTCCTGAGAAAAATGCTGGGAACAGGTAGTTGACCTAGCAGGTCAGGGGAAGGAGAAGAAGGAGCAGGAGAGGTATAATTGGGTGTCGGTGAGTAAAGATAATTTACAGTATGGAGAAAAAGATGCAAGGAGGGTGGGTTTCAGAAGATTTAAGTGAAAATGAATTCTTTTTATTGGCTTCTGCCAGAGTCTTTCAAAAAGTCTGTCTTGAAGTCAATATTTTATTTTGAGGCCTTAGCTAACATTGAATGTCTGTCTTCTTTGCTCGAGCTCCTCTTAAATCTGTTGTTTTTAACGTATCATAAGTTCCCCATAGTTGAGTTGGGTAGCGCCTGTGGTCTTGAGGCTGCCCCTCCCATCCGCTCCTTCTGGTGGTGGCAGGGGCTGCGGGGGTGGTGGGGTGGTGGTGGAAGGGAGTGAGCTGACTCTCAGGCAGGGAGAGGGGTAGGTGGGTGCAGGGTGGAGGGAGAGAAGCAGCAGGTAAGAGGTTCCAGCCACCCTGGACAGTCAGGGTGTCCACCAAGATGCCAGACCAGTGGGTAAGGAGCTGCAGAGAGATAAATAGCTTAGTGAGTAAAGTGCAAAAAGGCTAAGGAGATTTTAACCAAAGACTCAAGTGTGCAAGACTTCCATTGTCCCCTTACCATCTGTGTAGGCATCCACGGTTAGTTCTACGATCTGACGGAACTCTTTAGAATTGGTGGAAAATCACCAAACTAGCTATTCATGGGATTGCTTTGGGTTGAGGAAAGATCTGAAAAGCACTCTTGGCCTTCACGCTGTCTTGCCTGTTTTCTTCTAGTGGATTCACCTGTGACAGACTTGCCAGCCCTTAGGAAATGAAGTGCGAGTCAGGGCGCCCTAAATTTTGTTAAAACAGAGAAGCTCTGTTGAAGGAATTAATAACTTCACACTCACTAAAATGGGGAACATAACAAAGCTGAAATCTGTCTATCAACCCTGGTCATTCAGTCACTGAGTGAATGTCCCCTCTCTCTTGAGGGTCTGTCCCATGGTTTAAAAGCACTTTCTGGGAGAACAAAGGGTGGGGCGATTTTTCCCAGCATAAAAAAACCCCTCCACCACCAGAAGCCGGCTTCCTCAGTACTTTTTAAAGCTTCTGCAGCGAAACACCGGGAACTCCTCACCGATAGGAAGCAGAAGCAGGGGAAGAGGTTCCCAGAAGGCCCCACCCAGCTGTGCTTCTCCGCCTTGACTGCACAGTAGGGCAACCTCAACGAGGCTGAAAGAGCCCCAAGCCCAGGCCCCAGTCCAGACCTGTCCAATCAGAATCTCTGGGCTGGGCTGGACATCAGTCTTCCTTTAATTTTACTTAGGAACAGTGCTCAGGTTCTTGCCACTCAAAACATGGTCCTCGGACCAGCAGCATCAGCCTCACTTGGGTACTTGTTAGAAATGCAAATTCTCGGACTTCAGTCTAGACCTGCTGAATCACAAATCAGAAACTCTGGGGGTGGGGCCCAGAGACATGCGGTGAAATATATTTTTATTGTGGTGAAATATACATAATATTTATCATTTTAACCATTCCTAAGCATACAGTTCAGTGGCATTAAATACATTCAAAATGCCATACAGCCATCACCTTTATCTATACCCAAAATCTTTCATCATCCCCAACAAAAACTCTGTACCCATTAAACAATAATGCCCCCTTCTTTCTTGCTGTCTGCCCCCAGCCCCTGGCAGCCTCTGCTCTACTTCTTGTCTCTACAAATTTGCCTATTCTGGGTCCCTCATATAAATGGAAGCATGTAATATTGTCTTTCTGCATCTGGCTTATTCCCAAGCATGATATTCTCAAGGTCCATCCGTGTTGTATTGTAGCATATATCAGAAGTTCATTCCTTTTTGTGGCTGAATAACAAGCAACCTGTGTTTTAACAAGCACTCTAGGTGATTTTGATGCTCGCTCAAGTTTGAGAACCACTGACCTAGAGCGATGCTCCTCAAATTTACCATCCGTCGGAATCACTTGGGGATCTCGTTAAAATGCAGGTTCTGATTCATTAACTGACTTATTAGCTGATTCATTAGTGGGGCCCAAGATTCTGCATTTCTAACAAGCTCTGCGTGGATAGGGTTGAGAACCACTGTCTTAAGCCATCACAGCTGTGCCCAGCTCACCCTGAAATGGCAAGAGTGAGGACCAATCTCTCTATGGGGTAGAGTGAGATGGAGGCTGGGGTCTATTTCTGTCCCATGGACCAGAAGACGTGGACCTTGAGACCCTAATTTCTCTGATTGGCCATTCAGGGCCGGGAGACAGTCACGAGCCTCACCGGGTACCTGGATTGGAAAGGGCTGGCATTTGGGGACTTTTTAGGGAGCTCAGTGTTAATTACTACACTATAAATGACAACCTGATCGATCTTTAGTCACTACCCTGAGACTTCCTGCCAACTTCTGTGACATGTGGCTCCGAAAGAGCCTGGCAGTGCTGGGAGGGCAAGGGGTGAGGTGAGGCTGGCTGAGTCCTGGGGAGTGAGAAGTCTGTCAGGATGTCAGAGCAGTGGGTGGGCACCAGCAGGCCTCAGGGACAGGCTGGGGCAGGCCAGTGGCATCGCTCAGGGGCCCCTGAGTCAGGCAGGAGGGCCAGCACTTTTGTCTTCCTTCCTGATTGATTCAGTGTGACGTGGCAGAGGGGACCAGGGGGGAGGAGAAGCAGCATGGGGCTCCAGGACCACTGTTTTCATGGAAATGATGCCAGATTTGTGTTTTCAAAGGAACAGTAATTGCCTCTGAGCAAATCCAAGCACAGAATATCGTCAACCCAGGACTGTTCAACCTGAGGCTATTGCCATAGAAGAAATCACCGCGTACCACCACAAGCTGTTCCAGCCGGACCCCTCAGATGTCGGGAGCCGTCACTTGTGTGTGGTTTCAGAGTAGGAAACAAAGACAGTTGGGAAGATTCTTTTAGAACCTCATCTGTTTTGTAAGTAGAGCTGCTGCCTGGGAGAGAAAAGGAGTGAAATGCACAATAGGGAAATTGTGGTTCATTCTTGTGATGAAATACTTCCGAGCCATTGAAAATGTTGTTTGAAAGAATTTTTAATGACATTGAAAATATGGTTATGATTAAAAAGGGGGAAAAAGTCTCGATTAACGTACATATGTGTGTGTATATATACTTGTATATATATATATATATATACATTCTATGTAAAAATTTTAAATAATACATATAAAGAAAACATAGGAAATACACTAAAAATAAAAATGGTTATCACTGCGTAGTAGGAGGGCAGCGGTTTTCCATTTTATTTATCATATTTGTATTTTGTACATCACTTTTTTTTCAGGTGTACATCTTTATATTTCTCTTCTGTATAGACTACATTGTGTCCCCCCATCAAATGTCTAGTTGCCATCCATCACCATACAAATGTGCCCCTTTACCCCTTTTGCCTCCCCCTACCCCCTTCCCCTCTGGTAACCACCAATCTGTTCTCTGTTTGTTTCTTGTTGTTTTTTATCTTCCACATATGAGTGAAATCATACAGTGTTTGTCTTTCTCTGTCTGGCTTATTTCGCTTAATACAATACCCTCAAGGTCCATCCATGTAGTTGCAAATGACACAATTTCATCTTTTTTATGGCTGAGTAGTATTCCATTGTGTGTGTGTGTGTGTGTGTATATATATATATATATATATATATATACATACAACACATTCTCTTTATCCATTCATCTGTTGATGGGCACTTAGGTTGTTTCCAAGTCTTGACTATTGTCAATAATGCTGCAATGAATTTTAAAACTATATTGTAGGGAAATGGTCAAAAACCAAAAGATGCAAGTTTTTATCTATTTTTAATCTTAGAAAAGAACAGAAAGTGTTTTAGTGCTTACTTATTTTAAATATTCACCCGTCACCCAAACCCTCCAAAAGCTACCCCTGCCCCAGAGACAAAGCCACGATCTTTGAGATAGCCTTGATGGCCCACCGTGATCTCGCTCCCATGGCCCCTCTGACATCTTCTTCTCCACCCCTCCTCTCTCCCTTGCTCCAGTCCCCCTGGCGTCCCTCATCTGCATCAAGCCCAGGTACTCTCCTGCCCCAGGCTCTTAGCACAGGCTGTGCCCTTGGCCTGCAGTGCTTCCCCGCAGACGTCTGCTGAGCTGGGCACCTTCACCTCCTTCAGGCCTTTCCTCCAAACTACCTTCTCAGGGAAGCCTTTCCTGGAGACAATGCTTAGGATCCCCAACTCCTGTGACATTTTATGTCTCCCTCCCAGCTTTCTTTTTTCTCATTAGCATACATTGCTACTTAACATTCTATATATTTTATTTCTCTACTTTTTTATGGTCTCTCCCACTCACTATGCTATCAGCCCCACTGGGTTAGGGATTTTTCTCTATTTTTCCACTCCTACAACTCCAGCTTCTAGAGCAATGCCTGGCACTGGCTCTCGAAAACCAGTTGTTGAATGCATGAACGACACAGCCAAAAAGCTCTATTTTTGACCTATAAAATCATAATGGGTAGAAAGCTTGTAAATCTCTCTCAAGTCTACTAACAAATTAAATCAAAACTATTCACAACCAAGGCACTTACTGCCACTTAATGACAGCATCCCCTAGTCTCTTCTGCTCAGTGGTTTACAGATGTAATTTTCAGGAAATCCGAATATACACAGCAGTGCCAGGAATCCCATATCATTTGGTGGGTACGCTCAAAAGAAAAGGGAGCTTCGTTTAGAAATGGCATTATGGCTTGGTCGTCGGGGTGGATAATGACTTGCTGGAAACCAGTGCAGAAAGAACATAAATATCAGTAAAGCATTGATTTATTTCACATGTATTCGTTAAGCATCCATTAGGGATGAGACCTGGGTACACACAGTGAACAAGACATCACTCCTTCCCGGATGCAGCTTACAGTCTAGGAGGGGTACAGATATGTAAACAATCATAATGCAACGAGGTCTTACGGAAGCACAAAGGAGGGACTGCTACCCCAGATTCGGGGTGGGAGGTTTGGGGAAGACTTCCTGGTGAGTGTAGCATTTGAGTGAGATAAATAGGACTGCATCAGGGAACAGGGCTTGGGTGGCGGTGGAGCCGGAGAAGAGGGGCGAGAAAGAGCCATCCAGGAAGGGCCTGGAGGAGCAAGTGGTCGGCATCCTTCCCAGGAGCTGGAAAGCTCCATGTGGTTTGAGCGCGGGCCGTGGCCTCACATGTATCCTGAATCCAGTTATTTCCCCTCAGCTCCACGCTCACCTAGTGCAAGACACCTTCACCTCTCACGTGGACCACTGCCCCTCTGCCTGGACTCACGCTTCTACTCTGTGTCTTATTAACACCAAGGAAAAGCAGCTCCTGGCAGGTGAGAGCTGGCTTGGCACTCCCAGCTGGGCCTTGGTGCTCTTCTGTTCAACATAAACACAGCCTCGAACTCCAACATCAGCCAAGGCCACTCTGTGACCCTGATAGATGACGACAAAAAGAAGACCACTCTGTGATTATGTGTGAACAGAGACAACAACATAAACAATGTCCAAACCATAAAAATGACCAACGAGCCTTCCATCCCAGCTGAAAAATGTTACTCCTGCTTCTTTACCAATCACAGTTTTAGCCTCCCTCTTTCTCCCACCTTCAAGATGAGATTTATTAAGAAATTCAGTCACAGCATTCCCCCTGCTTCCTGAAGACATTGAATTCAGAGCAAACCCTACTCCTTGCATCTTGTCCACAATCCCCTAACATAAGCCCCAATGCTGGCACTTCTAAGACCCTTTAGCTGAGATGCTCCCACAGTTCCCCATAATGTCTTCTCCCTCATTGCAAGGAGGCAGTCAAGCCCTCTTGTTCAACCACAGGTGTATTCCCAGTGGTCTTGGGCTGGAGGACACTGACAGTACCCAAATCAGGTTAAGATACTTTCTTACTCACCTCCCATGACTCTCAAAGTCAAAATCAAACCCTTACCCAACGTCTTCATCCCTTGACGCTGCCCTCCTCTCAGACCTCACTTATTCACTCCCCAGCAGCGTCAAGGATCTGCAGTGAGCCAGGCACTTTCTTGGCACAGGAACATTTCACACTGCTGTGTGAAGAATGGATTGGAGCAAGAGGCCAGGGCAGGGGGTAGGGAGACGGCTTACAAGGCTTGTTTAGTCCAGCGAGACGGTGGAGTGGAACTGGAGAGGGAGAAGGGTAAAATGCAATGCCCAGCATTATGCTGAATGAGCTCAGTCAGACTGAGAAAGAGAAATACTATACGATCTCACTTATATACGGAATCTAAAACAGCTCAACCCTGAGAAACAGAGAGTAGCATGGTGGTTATGCGGGGCTGAAGGGGTGGGGGAAATGGGCAGATGTTAGTCAACGGGTACAAAATTCCACTTATAGGATTAACAAGTTCTGGGAATCTAACATGCAGCATGGTGATTATAGTTGATAACACTGCATTTTTTACTTGAAAGTTGCTATGAGAGTAGGTCTTAAATGTTCTCACCACAAAAAGGAAACGGTAACTAAGTGACCAGATGGAGGCGGTACCTAATGCTATGGTGGTCATCATGTTGCAACATACAAATGTATCAAATCAACACATTGTACACCTTAAACTTACACAATGTAATATGGCAATCACACCTCAACAAAGCTGGAAAAAACCCGAAAAAGATAACGCCCAGATTTGTGGTTTGGGCAACAGGTGCCAACACAGTGTCATTTTCCTGGCAGAGGGAATGGGGCAGATATGCCAAAAGGATTCTAGAATAGCAGTCACTCTGCTGGGCTGGAGAGCATCTTACTTGCTTAAGAGGGCTCCTTCTAAATTCTCTTCAAAAGAGGGCCTCACCATATCCCAGGAAATACTGCAGGATATCTTGGCTGCCGTTGGCCTGCGGGCTAGTGCCTGTCGCTGCCAGAAATTGTTTGAACAATGTACCTATTTCAGGTTCTAGTTTATGTGTTCAAGGAGACATATTTCAGTGGAGTCAGTAACTTATTTCTTATGGCCTTCTGGGCTTAACTAAAGTGACGATTAGAGTAATTCAGGGTCCATGAAGTAGCGCGAAAACAGCTGCCATCTGCCATTGCTCTCATTGGCAACTCATTTACTTCTTATAATGGGTTTTCACATATATGAATTAAGTTAGAATGTGCTGCTCGTGCTCAGAGGAACCAATAAACGACTTGCTTTTGTGTTACAACTCTCAGAAGTGAATTATTCAGTCTTCACTGCTTGTAGGGTTTAAAGAGAAACCAAATTTATTTTGATTCCCCCACCCTTCACTCCAGGACATGCTGCAAGGCTCCCGTCACAGAGACTTGGTGGAATTGACTAATTGCGTGTTTTGCATATTTATAAACACTTTGTTATTTATTAATGGACCATTTCAGAGATAAAATTAGCACTTTATTCACATCACAGCCATTTCTCAAAGACACTCTGACTCATGTCTGAGGAGCTGAGATGGGAGCGAATAAGATGAAAGCACAGGCGATTGTCTTCTCAAGGAAATCCCAACAGGGGAGTGAGCTGCCGGGACACCATTTATCAGACTGGTTCTCTAAAGCTGCGCTGTCCAATATGGCTTGTAAAATTTAAATTAATTAAAGTTAAATAAAATTAAAAAGCCAGTTCCTCAATCGCACCAGCCACATCTCCAGTTCTCGGGAGCCACATGTGTCCATTGGCCGCCACGTTGGAGAGCGCAGAACATTTCCATCATGGCAGGAAATTCTACTGGACAGCACTGCTCCAGACTGTGTTGGTGCTGGGGAGTCCTTTTGTGGCTCCCTGCATCGATTGAATTTGGGTCTTATGAACTGATGGGCCAGCAAGGCTGAGAGGTTAAGGCATGCCTAGTCATATCTCAAATCCTGAATATATCCAGAATTCAATTACTCTTACCACCTGCAACCTGGTCTCGTTACTGTCAGCTCTCATTTGGATTTACTGCAACGGCCTTCTAACTCCTCTCCCAGCATCCCTCCTGGGTTCCCACGATCTCTTTCCCACATAACAGCTGGAGTGATCCTGCTCAGAACCTTCCAGTGGCTTTGTGTCTCCCTCAGAGTAAAAGCCGGTGTCCTTACCACGATCTCCAACATTTCATATTCCCCTCCATGCTTTCCTGACACTTGTCACTACCCATGTACCCACTTACTTATTAGTGCTGTTTATTTTCAAATTCCTCCACTAGAAGGTAAGCTCATTGGGCAGGTTTTGGTCTGTTTTCTTCACTACTGCACCCAGTGCTTGGAACAGGGCCTGGCAGACAGTAGGGGTTCAACAAATACTTGTGGAATCAGTGAATGTTCTTTCCAATTCAAGTGCCCACTGGATGAATGAGGGAAATGGAGAAGCATGGGTTTTAGAATGAGCCAGACTCTGTCTCACTCTAGACGTGAGATTTTAGGCAAGTGACTGACTTTCTTTAAGTGTGTTTCCTTATCTGTAAAACAAAAATTCTAATTCCTGCCAGCAAGGATTGGCCTTAGGTTTAACCAGGACGTTCCCAGCACAGAGTCTGAGCACAATGATGTTATTCCAGGGGCTGTGAAATTCGGCCCAGGGCTCTTTCTTATTCACCAGTATCTACATGAAAACCATGATAATCTTTCTTTCACTCTACATTTTTAAATGTTGTGCTTTTATTTTAATAATAGAAACAATATACATAATTTTTGGAAAATCTGGATGGTGGTCTTATAACTGAGTTTGGCTGTGAGATCTCAGAGCTCATCTTACGATGGTTTTGAGATGTGCAAACCAGCAATCGATGCTGATATTCATGAGCGGCAGTTCCACAGAAATTCAAACAGAGAAAAGCAGTGGGAGAATCAAGTCATGTCGTATAACATGGGGTGGCAGAGACTGCTGAACTCAGAAAGAAGCCGCACTGTAGTGGATAAACTTAGATTCACATTCCAAAAGGGAATTTAGTTCAGCAAAATAATATAGTCTATATGGTTTATCACTGTGAGTTAATGTTATTTTGAACTTTGTTTTTATAGTTATGTAAGAGCCCTGTGCTTACACAGTTTATACTTGGTTTTATGTTTGCACATATTTAGGAGCGTAGCAGAGTTCCACCAGGAAAATAGAAACCACTCTACATATTTGAAACAAATTCAACTTACCAGAGGGAAGTGGTTTACACAGGGGTGGAGCTGCTGAGACCCAACAGGGTGGTGACGCGTGCGCCCTGGAACCTGGGAACGGCAGGAAGCCCCCACCCGTAGGCTGGAGGGACACAAGGTGGTGGTTTCGGGGCCCAGGGATGGGGCCACCAGGTGGAAGCTGAGATGACGAAGGGCCCGTCTGGGGGAGCTGGAGCCTGGCAGGCGAGGCGGCTGTTTCCAGAGAAGCTGCCCGAGGCCGACAGAGATGGGGAGAAATACTCTGGCTTCTCCCTGCCCTCTTCTCTCCGCTTCTTCAATAACGCTTCCCATTGGCTGAGGCCAGGAGAAGTCAGCGGCCCTGGGAGACGGGGAAACACATCCTCCGGGGACCAGCCCCTCTCCACTGCGGGCATGCGCGCGCATGCGCACACGCACACGCTGACAATACAGAGCAGAGCAGGCCAAGCGGGAAGCAATCCTCCGAGGGCAAACTCACCAAAGACCAACACGTTGTAACGAGACAGACGTGCGTTTGGTTCCCCTCCATCCACATTCTTCCTTTCCACCTGAAGTGGCAGCTAGGTTGGCTGGAGGGGCTCCGTGCACCTCCGGCTCCAGGGGTGGGCCCTGATTGCTTTCATGTCTCAACCAAGCAGGGTAACCCGACTGCCCTTGCTGTAGCGAGTGATCACACAAGGGATGGCCTCAGATGACCAGCTCCAGACGTTCCTCGGGCCTCGGGGGCTGGTTCAGGGCTAGTCAACAGGCTCTGTCTCCTGCGTAGGAACAAAGGAAGCTCCTAACCCCCAAGTGTTCCTAGCGGCCGGCTGTGGCAGGGTCAGGACAATCCTGGAGGGAGAGGCACAGTGCTGAGTCACACGCACGCACACACACTCACACACACACACAAAAGCCCAGCCAGAGACTGACTGCTCAATCCTGGTAGTCATTACACCCCAGGGTTCTTCCCTTTTGTTTGATCCAGATTAGTCCCCTTTCTTGTTCAAGCCAGTTTTAATTGGCTTTTCTGTTGCAACTAACACAATAATAACAATAATTTAAGACAACACTGGGAGTCCAAAAGAAAAAATTGTGTCAATGAAGGTACACACATTATTCAAATTTGAGAAACACTAGCCACTCCCCCACAGCCCCACCCCCTCCGTTTCCCCACTGAAGATGAACGCAAGCACCGCAGGAAGTATCGAGCATGCGGGGGCACGGAAGCCTCCGGAGGCCCAGCTGAGAGCGTGTGAGGCTTCTGCAGCTCCGCGACTCACCCCTGCTTTGGAGCCAGGAGAAGGAGCAGACGCATGCTTGGGGAAGTGAGGATCTTCCGAAAAGCTGTGGGTGCACTGAGCCCAGAGCGTGGACAGGCAGGGCTCTGTGATGTGGGCACAACTGGGGCCAAAGCAGGAGGAAGAGGGGTCGCTGCCATTGTGTCATCATGCTCTCTTTAGGGGGAAAAAGTCAATTGCTTAGAACTTTAATAGATTAAGAAATTGCCTGTTGGGCCGGCCTGGTAGCGTAGCGGTTAAAGTTGGTGCTCTCTGTTCCAGTGGCCCGGGGTTTGAGGGTTTGGATCCCAGGCACATACCTACACACCGCTCATCAAGCCACGCTGTGACAGGTGTCCCACATGTAAAATAGAGGAAGATTGGCACAGATGTTAGATCAGGGCCAGTCTTCCTCACCAAAAAAAGAAAAAAAAAATTGCCTCATTTAAAAGGGGCAATAGTTAGAATTTAAATCTATTGATAGGAATGTCTGATCTGAATTTCCTAAAAGGAAAGTCCTGTTGAAATGACTCCCTCCCTGCAAGAGAGGCAATGGGGCCTGTAATTCCTGTGAAAGCCCCTAGGCTCAGGGCAAGGCTAGGGAAGGCATGTGGGTTTAAGATTTTGAAGCTTCTTCCCTCTGCTGGATTTTGATGGGATAGATTTCTGAACTCCCCTGAAGATTCGGAATAGAGTCCTTTGGGTTTCTGCAGACTGATCTTGAAATAGGAGACTTGATCAGCCAGAGTCCTGTCTCCAGAGGTCAGCGTGGGGCAGGGGGTCTGGAGCGTGCCTTCTCCGCTCCCTCTGGTCCCCTGAGGCTTGTCTGCTAGCGGGAGGAGAGGAAGTGGATTAGAGTTCACTGCTTCACACTGCCCAGGCTGGACCACCGCAGAGTTGCCATTTTTGTCATCTGTCCGCGGTAGCTTGTGGGGGGCCATTTGGCTTTAACTTGGGTCCTCTCTGAATAGTAGGCCCAAGTGTGTCCCTCTCTTTCCTGGTCTGGGTTGCTGTGGGTTTTCTCTGGAGCAGACCAAAGTCTGGCAGGGCAGGAGGAGGGGGTCTGGCAATTCCTTGGGGGGTAGCAGGCCTTCCAGGCAGGGTCTTCAGGAGACACCCGCTCCGTTTAACCTTTAGTCTTCATCTTGGGGACCTGGGGTCTCCTGGGCTTTAGGGTAGCATTTATGCCTTGATTTGCCAAAGCAGCTACACTGGGCAGTTTTGCATTTGGAGCTGTCTCCGAAATCACCATCACCCCCAACATCTGACTTTCATTCTTCACAGGGCAGCCTGCGCCCTGCATCCACTGAGTGCAGTATCGGCTAAAGCTGGTTTTCTTCTTTCTTTCTGGTGGAGGTGGGGACAGCCAGGGGACATGACTTGAGCAAAGTTGATGGGACATTCAAGCAGCAAGTTTTTCAGTCTCTTCTTTGGCTCCACGTCTGAGTTCCCGATACATTCCCCTGGTGTTTTTGCTTGGATCCTCAAACACTTCCTAGTCCGTCTTGAGCACGGAGTCACGCTCAGGTCTGAGGCTCAGGAGAAAAATCATTGCCTATGTGAAGGGTTCTTCCGACTTCAGAGGTCAGGGGCTGCTCTGTCTGCTGAGTTCATCCAGACTGACCACGGCGCTCCCATCACCCTGAATGAGGTTTTGGACTGACCGTGAGGTCCGGCAGTGGGTCATGAAGTTGGGATGGCCAATGCTTGAGTTTCACTGTTGGCACTGGAGACAAGAGCCTTAGTGGTGCTCTGCCGCCACATGGGGAGTTGCAGGCTTTCCTCCCTGCTGTGTGGTTGGTTTAGGAAAACTGTGCGGTGCGTGAATATTTCAGAACTCTCAATCTGGGATTCTTTTCCCTCCGTATATGTCCTCTTTACTCTCTCCGGCGTTGGGGTGACCAGGCCTTTCGGGGAAGGCAAAGACATGGTTTAAAGCCAAACAGAGGGGAGTTTCCTGGACTTTAGTCTCCAAAGGGTTATGCCCCAAGGGGAATGGGGGACAGAATGTTTGGGGGGGAGCATGGGAAAGAGAGCAGGGCTTCTGCTTCGTCCAGAGCACATGTGTTTGGTCTGGCAGGAAGAGGCGAGATGAAGGGAATATAGACTGCGTGGAGGGCCCTACCCCCTGCCCTCACTCCCCTTGGGAGGCAGCAAGACCCAGAGGGGGCACGGCTGCATGCAATCCACGCAGATGGGGAGCTCTATGGGGATTGCCATGCTCCACGGGGACAGGGAGGAGCAGAGTGGTTCCAGGGTACCCAAACACGGCACAGAAGGGGCAGAGTAAGTTGCAGGGCACCAGCAAGAGAGTGTCTCCTTGAGGACGTGCATGGACAGTTGCCTGGGAGATAGACAAAAGGAGGTACAGATCAGTGGATGTCTGCAGGGACAAATGACTTGGGTCCATAGAGGGGACTTTTATCCCTGTCTCCCTGTCTCATCACCCACCTACCAGGTGCCTTGCACAGGAGCCCCACAGTGTTGACTCTGCTCTGGCCCAGGCTGGGGATGCCCTCAGATCACGTTACATTTGTGCTTCTCAGCTGCTAGCACATTCTGTGTGGTTGTGTGAACTACATAAACATGCCTCTTCTAGGAGGTCAAATGTCAAAATGGGACTTCCCCAGCCTGACTCAGCCCTACACCAGGGTGCATGGTGTAGCTCGTGGGGCGCAGGCTGATTTCCACCCCACTGAAGCCTGCAGCTGTGCAGTGCTTAACCTGTGCGACCGAGTGTGCAGGCCCAGTGTGGTGGAGCTTCCGACCTCCCCTGGGTGACTTTGATCACCACTATGTAGAAACGAGCATGTCTCACACCCTACATAAGGGATGAGGGAGTCAGTGGTGTTGGGCAATCCCCGGGACTGGAAACCAGAAGATTCAGCCCTGGAAGTGCCGTTTATTCTCAGGGTGGCTAGAGGCGAGCATTCAGCCTTGGAACCTCAGTCTCCTCGTCTGTGAAATGGAGATGGGGCTCCTCTCTTCCTTGCGCTGCCACAGTTTGGCTTAAATGCAGAGACATCCACGAGCCTGCTTTGGGCCGTGAACCATGGCCGAGCTGCTCAAGTTCACGGAGCTGCCATCCTTTGTGAGCCAGGGGTGAAGGTCAGGAGCCACGGAATCTGTTTTGATGGCAGACTGTGAGACTGGAGCTGGGGAGAAAGAGCAGGAGGAGAGACCGGGGAGTGGGGTGACCTAGAGTGACCTGTGTGACAACTGCCAGGCATTCTTCAGGGCACTGTGAGCAGGAGGTAAGTTTCTGCTGGGGCAGAGGAAGTCTGGAGGCCACTGCTACGTGGACATTAGTATAAAGGGGCCCTATTTGTGCTGGGTGACATGTCATAGGTGACTGCAGCATTGTCAGGGGAGGCCAGGAACCTGATGGTAGCAGTCTGGGTCCGGCGAGGAGAGCAGCACACAGCAGGTTAAACAGGGAAGGTGAATACAGAGGATGATTAACTACGATAACGTATGAAAGAAGAGCTGTAAGGTGTCAGGAAACTACGTGGATCCTTAGGGCTGAGGAAGTCTACCCAAGGAAGGATGAAGCGGGAAGGGGTTCTGATCTTGGTGGAGGGGGGTTTGGCCACTGGGTAGCAGAGAGGTCTACTGGTTCAGCCTGGCTGGTGTGGGTCTGCAGCAGCTGGACAAGCCACAGGCCATTCTTAGGCATGCAGCTGTCACCAACCAACAGCCAGGTGTGCAGGGGGAGACCAGGAACCTTTAGAGCACGTGACCCGCCCATGCATGGGCCCTGGGTTCCATGTCGAGAGGGCTGCAGAAGGGTTATTGCTGGGCCAAGGCTGCAAGGGCCCAGACGGACTGTGTTCTGAGCCATGGCGGGTGAGTAGTTCTGGGGGAGGGGCAGGTTCTTGGATGCCCTCACACCACCTCTGAGTGCCGCCAGAAACCGCAGGGCATCCCCTCCTGCAATGACTCTCCAGCGCCCCCTGCTGAGAGAATTCATATCACATTTACCATAACGGAGCTGGGGCACCTGGCTGCCCTCCCAGACTGAGGTCCACGGGTCCATAAGGATTGGAGAGGCAGTATATAGTTGTTGGGAGGGGAGGCAGACTTAAATGATGGAATTAGGGATGATTTGTACTTTTTTTTTACAGTCTAAATAAAAAATAACAAGCTATCTCTTTCAGGTTAGAATTTATTTCTGTAAAATTCTGTGAGTAATTTTAGAAAAAATAAAAACCTAACATCATGTATGTAAACATACACATATATACATATGTGAATTGACCAGAAAAAGCATTTACATTTACAACATAGGTTAAGGGAGAAAACCAGGCCACAGAACATTGTGATCCCAATTTTGTTAAAAATAAGTCTTTATTAGTATATATGCATAGAAAAATAACTGGAAAGATAACCAAAGAAATGATAGCATGGTTTTTCTCTAGTGCTGTTATGGATAATTTTTGTTTTTCTTTTAGCTCATCTATGTTTTTCAATTTTCCACAATGAACTTGAATTAAAAATAAAAAAAGAGGGGCTGCCCGGTGGCATAGCAGTTAAGTTTGCACGTTCTGCTGGGCAGCCCGGGGTTCGCCGGT